CACTAGCCAATGCCTTCAATTCAAATTTAGATAATTCTATAAATCATTTTTTAAAGATAACATCAGAGATACTTGTAGCTTATAGCATTATTTGATAAAAAAGTTTGTTGCAGGACGCATGGATACGTCACCCAATTTTTTAATGGAAAAAGCAAAATTAATGAAAAATAGGTACTAATTCGTTCAAGAGAAACGTAAAAAACCGCCATACTATTATTATCGCCAAAGATGCTTATAGTTTAAGTAATATATGCACACTGAAATAAAAGAAATAGGCTTTGTACTAAAAGATAACATTAATAGAGTAAAATTACTTATACGTTAAGAGGAACCGTAAAAAATTGCTAGTTATTGATGACTATGATGCTTAATTAATGTTGGTAACATGCATCAGATGAAATTTAACAAAAGCTAATTGCTATAATGAGAAATAAGCTATGTATATTCGAAATTAGTTTAGGGGAACAGTAGAAAATCGCTCTACACAGATGACGCTTAATTATTATTGTACTGTGTACTACTGGTATTATTTTAAATTATGCTGTTTTGATAAGAGTTGTGCAACAGGTTTTCCATCGTTTCAAAAAACCTTTTTACAGTGGCATCAAAGATAGTGTATTAATATCTTAATGAATTAAAATGAAAAGAACTTTTTTAAACTACTACTTATAAATATTTTGAACTCTAAATTGAATTTCCTTTAGAGAAATATTTATGCTCTGAAGTCCTTAATAAGTTAATTGTTCTTAATTCTAAACACATAATTACTGTTTCAATTACTGTTAACGAAAAATTTGTATTTTTGTTTCCTTTTTAATTCTGATGTGGTTTGCTGCCACAGATAAATGTTGTATTTGTTGGGTTGAAGGTGTATGTCATAAGTACCAAATGTATTAAGGATAAGTAAAAAGTATTTTGTACGTAGTTGTTTTGAAAGTATTTGTATTACGTATGAATAAAAAATAGGTAGAAAGTATTTTTTAATTTCGTCCCTTGAAAAGGATATGTACCAGAGAAAATTGATAGTGGAAAAATTTTGGCTGTCATGAGTTGATCACGAGCAATAATGCTAAGTAATCCAAAATACAATTAATCTCAATTCTGATGGAATAAACTACAATAATCTGAATTTGCTTAGTTTAGTAACATAATTTCATGGGAAAGGTTTGCAAATACTAATAAATAAAGAAAAAAATATTTTAGCTTTATTAAGGATATTGAAGGACTTAGTGGAAGAACCAAGTAAGGTACATTTTCAGCTAGTCTGAAATCAAAATAGGAAAAAAAAAGTGATATCATATCCGAACTATTTTATTACGCATACATTAGAAAGCGGGGCTAATAATTATTCGCCTTTTTTTATCTACCCCTTGCTTAATTTGAAATAAAAATCATGTAAGCATACTAAAACTAATGTGGATTAGTTTGTTGAGATTAAATTGAAGGCAAGAACATTTCTGTTACATTAAACATGCCTACATTGATACAATCGATTTATTTTATTTTCTCTAATTCATTAATTCCCCTAAAAGTATTACCTGGTTCGTCCACTAAGCTTTTCAATTCAGTTTTGAATATGATTTCGTGGTGTTTCTCAATACTGATTTATTGATTTCTTTTTCTTTTTCTTTTTGTTCACCCCTTGCGAAGAATGGTTATTCAGCTAGTTATATAATAAAAGAAATTTGAGTCTTCTAATTGAATAATTTTTTATTCAGATGTAACAATAGAATTATAAAGCAAATAGAGAAAATGACAAAATTCTGAGGTAAATGAACAGAAATTTGTCCGAAATTTATTTTATGTGTTAATTTTTTCAGAGATAAGTTTCAGGGATTTCAAAAAAACATATACATATTTTCTTTTTTAAATTTATTTTCTATGAAGAAATTATTTTTGTTATAAAAAAGTATCAACACAATTTTTTTAAATTTCGTAAAAGAGTCTGAGTTTTAATGATGCTTTTAATCTTTTAGAATAGTTATATCCTTGTTGTTATTTACCTGTTGTTATTTACATTTATTTACTTGCATGTATAATACTTCTGATAGTATATATACTTTATTACTATACTTTATTATATTACTTTACATAAATATTTTGTAAATAATATTGTAATATTTAAACCGTTAAGTATTTATTTCTAAATTACAAATGAAACATTAGCAAGAGTTTAAAAGAAATAAGCATAAGAATATCTGCATTTTAATGAAAGTAGTAATAACTAAACTTTGCTAGTAAGATGACGCTTTATATGATGTATTCAAAATAAATTTATTTTTTATGTTACTTACAAGAAAAATTGCTTATTCTGAAATTTTATTCTTCATTATTTCTTTTTAATTTCTTTTTTTTTAATAAAATGTACTTAAACTTGGACGAATAATCATTATGTATTTGAGCTTTTCTAATATTACTTCTCATGGAAATTTGTTTCAAAATAATTTGCAAACAATTACGTTAAAGCAGTTTAGTTGCTTATATTATTCAGAGACAATTATTTCGCCAAATCTTCTCAAAGCTTATTATGAGTTTGTATAGTCAAGACTGTTAGACAGTAATTCAGGCTTAATTAAAAACCGCTTTGCCTCATAAAATTGGAATTAAGCTAATCGATAGCAATAACTGCTCTAATTTTCACACACTTGTCAGAATTTCTTAAAAGCATCGAGGCTTATAATAATTAGCAACTAGAGTGCTGAGATTGCATTTCATTTACTAATTGAAGAGTATTTAAATTATTTTGCCTAAGGTCATAATGAGTCATAATAATTGGAGACCTTTCTCTTTACATTTATAACTTAATGTATTGAAAGTAGATGTTCCGAGAAAGTATGAAGTTAAAATTATAACAACCCTGTTTATATATTAAAAAAGTAATAATTAATGTATATTAAGTTGCAGCAATAAAATTAAAGACTGTTTATCATTAGAGTGCTGCTTCTAAAAGAAATATTTTTTTGTTCCCAAGTAATAAAAATAATTTCTTATATTTAACAATTATTTTGCCCAAGGTCATAATGAGTCATAACAATAATTATAGACTTCTCTGTTTTCATTTATAACTTAATGTATTGAAAGTAGATGTTCGTTGAAAGTATGAAGTTAAAATTATTACAACCTTGTTTATATATTAAAAAAAGTAATAATTAATGTATATATTACAACTAATATTGCATCGATATAAGGAATAGCTGACAACAAATTAGTAATAACCGTAGCAAAGTTGCAACAATAAAATTAAAGACTGTTTATTATTAGAGTGCTGCTTCTCAAATAAATATTTTCTTGTTCCCAAGTAATAAAAATAATTTCTTATATTTAACATATTTTTTAAAAAAGAGGATTTAAAAAAAACCATACATTTATGATGAAGTCTTGCATAAAATTGCATGAAAAATAAACATTGTTTTTGAATATAAAACATTTTATTGTATACATTTTTAAGTTTTTTTAATGTATGAAGCATTGAAAAATTATCACACGAGCTATTTTTCATAGAATGTACATACAAAAATGTTTTTTTCTCCTTAAACACTCCGCAATATGAAGCTTTATCTTAATAAAACTTTTATTTTAAATTTTTCTCGATAATATTCAGTACTACTACTTTAAGTTCTACAAATTCGTACTTTTTTTTTACTTGTAACCATAATCATAATGAATTATCAACTTAATATGTATTTTCAATGAAATGATTTTCTAGTTAAGTAAAAAAAAAGTTATTTTTAATTTATTCCTCCTTTCTATCAATTTTTAACAAGTATCGTGATATACCTTTGTGTAAGCGTTGTTCATAATTAAATTTAATAAAAACTTAAACTATTTATTACAATATAAAAAAAAATCAGTTTGTTAATTAAAAAAATTTTAATTGTTATTTTTTTTAAATTATCCTTTTTTTAACAATAATCCATATATTTCTTAAAATAAAATAAATGTGGAATTTTTTTTGCTTTCATAAATTCAAACTTTTAAAAAAAAGTAGTTTAAATTAACAAAAAATAATAATTTATAAATTGAATGAAACATGCTTAATAGTTATCCACCTCTGTAGAACAAAATTCTAGCTTCTTAGCTAGAATTTTGATAATTGTTAAATTAGTCAATTTCTTTTATACTTTTTCTTATTTTATCGGTAAGTTAGTTTGTTTTTTTTTCATTTCCTTTTTTCTCAACTCATTTACAATTACTTAAATTTTGTTTTCTGATGATTTTGCTTGAGATTCTTTTCCGAATTGGCTCTATGTATTTCCTGTTTTTTTGTCCTGGACTTCTATACAAAACCTTCAGAGTACTGAGGGAGTTAATTTAGGCATTTGCCCACTCTCTCAATAGAAAAGGTTTTGTTTTATGGCTACCCCCTGGTCGGGGGTAGCCATAAAACAAAACCTTTTCTATTGGTCATAATTTCGGTACCCCCTGAAGACGTCGGCTTCGGTGGTCATAATTTTATTTTTATTTCTTTCGTTTCCTTTATTGATACATTTATTCTTTCTTTTTTTTAATTTCTGCTGCTTTTAAGCGCGTTTTTTTTTTTCAAAGAACTTTTGTCAATTTAGAATTAAATTGTTTGTATTATTTTAGTATCATTTAGAATTACGTTATTATTTAATTTTTTGAAGTAATGGGTCCCTATAAATAGTAATTTTTATCTTAAAAAAATTATTCTTTTCTTCGAAATGCTTCGGTCGTAAAAGAATGCCTTCCCGAAGAGAACTTTTACTTTTATTCCAACAAGCTTTTACTATATTTCTAATTATTTATTATGTTTCATAGCGACCTGAAACCACGTCTAATGAACATAACTTCAGAAAGATAATACTATTTTATTCTAGAGACTTTATTAATTCACTGAATAATAAAACATTTACCTTATTGTTGATTTTAGATCAGAATATAATTTTTTAAACTTCTAATTATTTTCTTCCTAAATTATTTGTATTTATAATTATCTGATAAGCAGTATTTTTTTTCTAAAAAATTATCATCTCTTTCAGAGGGAAACCCGGATGCTAAACGGCTTTACGATGATCTCATCTCCCGTTACAACAAGCTGGTACGACCGGTGATTAATGTGTCGGAGGCCCTGACGGTCTCAATCAAGCTAAAACTCTCACAGCTCATCGAAGTCGTAAGTTCCATCCATTTATTTGCTCTCACCATTAATAACCAGAAAAGCTCTCTCTCTCTCATCCATGTAACATTAGTCGCGCGTTCGCAAATTTCGAAATCATTTCCACGGATCATTCTGGTGAACGTAACTCTGAATTTGCGAACGGGAAATTTATTCTCTATGAATGTCGTAACATGCACGAGATATTTACCAGCATCGTGTTGCACAACCGAGTGAAATTTATGGCTGATAATTGAAAATTTGATGCAATGTTTGATGATTGTGAATATTGAAAGTGCATTGATAAAATAAATTCATTTATATATCCAGTTCCATAAGGAACTACATCTGATGCTTTAATTGTAAAAAAATATTTCATAATATTATTGCTATTAATAATTTGAAACGCAAGATGTGCTAAGCATAATAGAACTTTTAATAAGTTAAAATCAATGGTTAAAAATGATAAAACTTTTAATAAGTTTGAAATATGCAAGCCATGGTCTGGTTCATAAATTTGTGAGAAATTATATTTTCTAGAGATCATTATATGAATTATTAATAATGTTTGGTTTATGGGATAATTTTTTTACAAATTATTGCCTTTCACCAATTTGTTTTATCACAATAATTATTCATCAATTATCATTTATAGTATACAATTAGGATGATGAAAAATTTTGTCCGTGAAATATTGGACAATTGTTTACCAGACAATGGCTTTTTGCCAAAACAATTTTATAGAAAATGCAGGCTGGTGATCCTTTATCTTGAAAAACATCTGTGTAGGGAATACCGGGCAAGCATATTAAAAACAATGGCCTACATATTCCTAACCGGTAATTTTCCTGGTAAATCCTTCTATTAAAAACAATGTAAGGTGGTTGCTAAAAGTTTGTCTTTCTTATGAAAAGAAATAAAACAAAGTTAATACCAACTCGTTACACCAAAAAATAATTTTAAATTAATATAAGTAAATCAAGCAGTGGTGGCTCCGGGGACAGAGCATTCTCCTGCTAATGAGGTGAACCAGGTTCAAAACTCAGCGACGGCTGGTCGATACGAATTCCGCACCCGGCTCGCACCGATCATAGTGCTGACGAAAATTCTCCTCAGTGGCACACAAATCATAGGCTAACCGTAAGTGGTTTTGAGGTTTTCCTCTCCATGTAACGCAAATGCGGGTTAGTTCCATCAAAGAGTCCTCCACGAAGGCAAATTTTTCCTAATACTTGATCCAGGAGTTTCCTTGTCTTCTGCATTGGGTTCAGAATTATAAAACAACGGCGTTAAACTTTAGTAGTCGTAAACCCAAAATTGGGTCGGATGTTGAATGACAATTGTAAAATATAAAATAACATAGATAACTCATAATGATACTCATTAAAAGTTAAAAATAGGCATATTTCATGTTTTTCTGTTGTGTCGTTTGAACTTCTTCAAATTGTTGAGGCAATGTATGAAATATTTAATAATTTCATACTTTGCCCGTCAATTTATCAGATTGTTTATGTTGCCGGATACCCAACTTTGACGATAACATCTAAATATTTGAACATAAGAAAAATGACCTAGCAGTGCTTCTAACTTTATGAAAATTATTTCAATTATGATTGTTTATTGGGTCGAATTCAATTAAAAAATTTGAATTAATTAAATACTTTTCAATTTGATACACCAGCAAGCGACGTCACGCGTGAGTCAGCCAATCACATCCGTGACGTCGCTTGCAGGTATCAAATCAAATCTGATCGTAAAATTTATTAAGTTTGGTAATAACCCAAACCTTAAAGCTGAAACCTTAACACGGCATGCACAACCACGTGATTAGACGCTACCGCGAGATTATTTGCAAGTACCCAATTACCCAAAGTTGACAAAAATATTTCATTCACAGATGGTTCATGATTTAACATCCATTGCAGAAGGTATTCCATACTACTTTTTACCTCTTTAAATCAGGCAAATGCTGATTAATTCAATTATAAATTATTTTTAAAATAGAACAAGTAGATTGTGACTCAAAATCTTAATTGTTGATCTTAAAAATTCGCTAAATAGTTCCACAATTTGATATCGGGGATAAAATTAAGGATCATTATTTAAGACTAATTGACTACTTTTATTCATTTAAAACTGATTAAATTAATTTGAAATAACACAAAAACTGCATAATTTAGTTAGAAAAGTGGTTTCTGTACTATAATATTTTAATAGAAAGCTAAGAAATTTCAGTGCAAAGTTTTTAAGTAATGAACATCTATTAAATTAATATTTTTGAATATCAGTGATAAAGCTAAATATACTGATAAAATTAACTAGTTAATTTAACTCAAAATAATTCATATACTGATCAATTTAATTAAAAAAGTTATTTTGAAAGCTAGATTCTGTTTATGCGATACTAAAAAATGTCTTTGTTTTGAAGTATTTCTCTGAAATTTTGAAATATTAAAGTACTTGCACCACCTATCTGACAAACCAATCTATTGTTTAATGATAGTGACAAAACTAAACTACTGTAAATTATTCGTCATAAATTATTTTCATATTTTTCAATAGTTAATGTAGCTATTATTACGTAAAATATGCATGACTTAACTATGATAATTTAAATAAATATACCTAGACGGAGGACTAATAAATAATTTTTGTTCCCTAATAAATTAAAAAAATAATGTTGTTTTACACACCAGCTTCGAACGAAAACTCTCTTTTCAAAAATTAAATTCACGTTACATTTTAATAAAAGTAATAAATTACAATGTGCTTTTAAGTAGCGCAACCGTTAAAAACCACGACAAATTATAGTTTTTTTTATGCCTAATCAATTTTATAAGAAAATTACTTTTCGTAACATTGCTAATGAAATTCTAATTCTTAAATTAAACTTTTTTTTATTCTCACATTTTCACTATCTTGAGCGTCAGGTACCAGAAATGAATTAAGTTTGCGAATTTTTTTTTTCGCTGAAGGTGAAGTCAAAGAAGCTCTTGAACCAAATAATAAAAAAATGGAAAGTTTCCAAGTGATCGTAATCGATAAAAAGCTTCAGAAATGCTTCCCAGCAATCTTATTAATAAATAGCTTCACACTTTCTTACTTTACAGAAGATATTTTCTCTCTCTCTCTATCGCTGATCGTTGTGATGATTCTTTAAGGTTGTTTTTTTTCTTCCTTGCTTTCCAATTTTAACACCGATAATAGAAGTATGAATAAATTAACGAAAATCTTAGTAAGTATATAGATTTAGTACGATCAATATATCGGTTATTTTTTATATCTAAATTATTTTTTAAAAAAAATTGGTTTGGTTAAATCAATCGCTCAATTTAACTTGTTATAAATGTTTATTTTTCTTAATTAAATTGAGTTTTATATTGAAAATTGGTTTATCCAGAATAAAGTTATTAATGCCTAGCAATTAGTTTCCCTCCATTAATCATTAGTTATGAACTATTTTACAAAGCAAGTTAATTTATTTTGCTCAGTAAATCTTTTTGAAAAAATACGTTTTTATGCTTTTCCACATTAATTATTTCTATCATTTGATAGTTAATTTTTTACACTCAGTTCAACTCAATCAGTTAAGGATAGAGTTGTTTAAAGTGATTTTTTTAGATTTAAGTATCGCTTTTCATGCATTTCATTCAATTACTTTAATACTATTTTAATATTAATTTAATCAATATCCTCAATATTAAACCTCAGTCGTAGAGTTTGTAGTATTCTATGTTTTGCCAAATTTACTCCATAATTTGTGGAAATTTTCTTAATCCGAAAATTCTTTAGTTGGATAAGTTCAATTTTAAAAATCAAAAAAGAAATTATCGCACATAAACTATATTTTTATAAGAATTGCCAAGTAAAATAACAATAATATAGTATGTATTAAAATTGCAACCTAACGCTGTTTAACTCACTATAAGAAAGTAAATTATCCTTATTATTTAGTATTTTAAGGAATATTCATAAATTTAAATGTCTTTATTTTATTTTATTCTAATTTGTGGAAATTTTGTTAATCCGAAAATTCTTTAATTGGATAAGTTCTTTTTTACAAATCAGGAAAAAATTAACATGATCGATTAAACTTTCAAAGTAAAAAATTCATCACAAATTTACTATGCTTCAGTTAAGTCTAAAAATATAGAATGATCATGAGGAGGCAAATATAGAGTGATCATAGAAGGCAATAATAAAAATTTAAATAAAATATATATTTTATTATTGCTTAATTTTTTAATATTAGAAAGTTTTCAAGCAATAAAGTAATAGTATTAATAATAATGCTAGTACAGATGATCAATTAATTTTTCAGTCTTAAATTCCAATTTTAACTTTGATTTGGTTAGAGAGGTATGAATAAATTAACCCTTTTCTTCTCGCTCCCGTGAAAATGATGAGTCGAGGTTTCGCCCTCTATTTCTCGATCCCGTGAAATTTCCGGGCTGGAGTGTTCAGTAGTAACGCACCAATAATAATAAAACTAATTCATTTCTTTTGCCTGGAAAACATTTTATTTCTCCCTTTACACACCAGATGGCAGTACCAGTATATATTTAAGGTAATTGTAGATAGTTAGTTTTTTTTTAAACTAGATGTCAGCACTAATTAAATACATGTATTTGGCAAAATAGGCACTTTTATGACCGTTTTCTTGAAAATTAACCGATCGTTAAGGGGTTAAAGAAAGTTTTAGAAAATATAGATTTAATAAGATCCATGTAATGGTTGTTTTTTTATATCCTGTTTCACAAAACTTGGTTTGTTTGATTAATACAATTTCTCAATTTAACTTCTTGTAAATGTTTTTATGGAAGTGAAGTTTCACATTAAAACTTGGTTTATATGGAATAAAGTCATTAAATCCTACAAATTACTTTTACCACTATTTATATTTTTTCAATTCAGTTAAGAGTTATTTCACAAAAGCTAATTTCTTTTATTGAATGAATCTGCAAACAATTTTCGGTTATTATGCTTTTTGCATGCTTTATATTTTCTTAATACGATTT